ACTGCCATTTCGTTCGAGAAAAAACGATTATCCTATGAAAGACACGAACACGTTCTCTACTTTTGTAAATTAGGCAAAGTCTCGCAGGTTTTGTCGAGAACGATTCTTATACTTAATTGCTCGAGTTCGATCAACACGTCCTTTTAACTCTGTTTTACACGAAGACTGCGACAGAAGAACATGCTGCACCGTAAGCGATCCACAGGGAAGGTTTTTACTTGCCTTTACGAAAGAGACTCTTTATTATCTCGTATTCGTTAACCGAACACTCGAATCGTATGAGATACTATCGTCGAAGGTGAATCGTCCTATCGTTGAGACTACGTCTGCAGCAAGCATTCACGAGCAAACGGTTTCCATTCTACCGAGTGCATATCCCGAGCGAGCAATACGCGATTTGTTACGAGTTTACTTGGTCTTCCAATTTCGTAGATCGTTTCTATCTACTGATTTCGACGTCGTCCTTTTTGAACGAAGAAACGCATGAACGATTACTTTCGCATCTCGAACGAGCCAGCATGTTTTCTCGTTCGTGTACCAACCGTGTGTTGTATACATGTATAAATAACGAAGCTAGGCCGCGAAGAAATGAAAATGATGTTTCGTCGTTGCCATCGATGTTGTTTCGTTTACGCGAGACTGAAACGTTAGTAGATGAGACGTGTAGCGTAAACTTTAACGTTCAAAGCAAAAAAAAAAAAAAGTAAGATAAAATAAATAACTAAATAAACTATTGTCTATAAGATGTCTGTACTTACCATGCTGTTAACTGTGTACGTATTGTACGTCATTACGTACGCGCGACCGCGGATCGCGAGAAACGAATCTAGAAGAGCAACGGAAACACGATGGTAAAGTGTTAAACTAAAAATGTGTCGTTTCGCCGCGTTGAATTTCGCGCGTCGATTAACGATCGACGGACCGAGTGATACGCTAAGAAAAACGGACAACAAAAGCAGAAAAAGAAAAAAACAGATAAGATAAACTAAAGTAAAATAAAAGGCAGAGTATTAATGAATTTGTTCGACTGTCGTTAAGGAAAACGCACCCACCGAGTCTGTAACGCATCTGTTGTCATCGAATCAGTTTAAACCGTATGTACAAGCAAACCGATCGTTCACTCGGCAACGTGACGATGATTTTTGAGTCTGAGTGAGTGCTCTCTCGTTATGTCGGCGTCCCCGATCAGAAAGCATCGCGAAGCAAAGTATCGGGGACTACGAAGGAAGAGATATCGATCTGTTGACAAATCGTATACTTTATAATATATGAACAAATGATTTACCACGAAATTCGTACTATTGTGTTTTTAGACGACTTTAGATTGTTTATATTCTATTTACTTTGTAAAATATACAACACTAATTCCATAACGGAACACCGTTCTTGTCTGAAAGATTATTCTCACCCTTCCCGTGTCTTACCGTAATACCAATCTTTGAAATAAAAAGGACCATCGGAATCCTTGAAATCCGACGCATCCCTGAAACTACGTTCTCGACGATAAAATTTAATAGATAATAAAAGCAAGGGAAAATCTCTTTTCTCCGAGACCAGTTCGTAACAATCCTGCCGTTAAGCCCGACGAGAGAAAATATCCGTGGAAGCTGCGCCCGGACGAAAAGGGTTTCGCAAATGTGCTGATCGATCGCGTTTCGTCCTCCTCCCGATCGTAGATTCGAATATGCAAAAGGAGCAATGTGGAAACGGCGGAGGGTCGCAGAATCCTCGATATACGAGTACGAGGAAGGAAGAAGGGGTGCATGGACCGGTGAGGTCGAACAGGGTTGCTGGGCATGCGCCGACGTTCCTGTCCTCTCCAGATACTATGAGCGGTGGTGTCTACGGCGGAGGTATGTGATACGCGGTCCGCAATATTTCCGGAAAAAAACGAAACGTGGTCTAGCTGAGAATTCCGTAAAGCGTTTGGATTTTTCCCGTAGACGAGGTCGGTGCTATAATTTTCGACGTTGGACACCAGAGCCTTCGCGTGGGTTATGGCGGTGAGGATACACCGAAGGCTGAAATTCCGACCACCCTCGGTGTATGGGAGGACACGATCGACTCGCCGGACGGCAGTCAAAACGTCAGGAAGCACTACAACATCGATGTCACGGCCATTCAAGTGCGAAAGAAGGGTACGATCGTTTCACAGCGTAATCCTATCAGAGGAAACACGATTACGTTTCGCTGTCCAGTTCTCGCTATGTGACCATTTTCCTGATCGTAAATTCCATTAAAACGTAGAACGATGTCTAGCACATACTTTTCTGAAATAGAATTCGACGCGGTCTCGTATCGTTAATACGTTTCACCTGTATCATCTTTACGCTACGAAACGTACGACAAACTGTATTTGATTAGCGTTTGACACAAGCAGTTTGTAACTTAGTCGACAAAAGACGAAAAGGAAAAAACTTAAATCGAAGCGCGGAAAATAGACTTTAATTTACAGTATAGAAAATCATGAATTGTAAAGAGATCGTATTGTATGTATTACCTACGATATATCTTTTTCTAGATATGGAGATGGTTAGCTTAATGAAAGACGGCATGATCGAAGATTGGGAGATGTTCGAGCGTCTAACAGAGTACACGTATAAACAACGTCTTCATGCTCTTCCGGAGCATCATCCGATCTTGATGACCGAATGTCCCTGGAACACCAGATTGAAACGGGAGAAATTGCTAGAGCTGATGTTCGAGAAATTCAGCGTTCCGGCGATGTACATCTGCAAAAACGCGGTTTTGGCCGCGTATGCGAATGGCAGATCGACGGCCATGGTCGTAGACAGCGGTGCAACTCACACGAGTGCGGTTCCGGTGCACGACGGTTACGTTATCACCCAGGGAATCGTAAAAAGCCCGCTAGGCGGTGATTTCATCACGATGCAATGCAGACAGTTCTTCGAAGAAAAGGAAATCGAGTTGACGCCTGCTTGTCTGGTAGCGAGCAAAGGCAAGTTGGCTGAAATTTTCAACGAAATCGTCGCGCTTTCACAGCGACGAATCGTCGTCGACGGATAAAGAAAAGCAACAATAATAGCGTAATTCGATCGACGTGGACGGTATTGATGGAATGATTAAATATTGACTTCAATTGACACTCGCTCGCTAGGCAGATATTAACGCGCTATAAAAAGCAATGCTTAGTACATCGTAGAACGACGTCTATTATAAGGCACGAAAGGGAGTTAAATCCTTTGAACGCGCATTTTCAACGATGAACGCGCGCTGTGTGCAGAGCACTTGAGTCGTAATGCGTTGAATGCATTCATTCAGCGTCCGTGCGCCTTTACCGCACGTGCTGTCCAGATTTAGCGAACACTTATCAGCCTTAAAGAATGTTTAGAGTTGAACATTATTCCCATCGACCTCCTTCATCAAAACCTTTTATCCTCTAATATTTCGCACTTCCGAATGTAACTTACGTCCTTCTAGAAGAGCTTTTCGACGCTTGACATTATACGTACCACTCGAAACGCTCTGCCTAAGTCGAATCCTCTTGTTTCATTCGCAATTGCTATTCTATGTCCCGGATTAATCGTATTACCACGTCGCACAACAACGACGATCTAATGTAATAAAATATTATACAGATGTAGTTCGCGAAAGAGATACACCACGTTGGACCAAAAGGGCTGGACCTCAGCCAACGTCTTCCTGGATGAGCTATATGGTCCGAGAGCTGTTGCAAGACTTCCAAATGAATTGTTTGCAAGTGTCCGACAGCCCTTACGACGAGGATGTGGCCAATACTTTGCCAATGAAACACTACGAGTTCCCAACCGGGTACAACGACGATTTCGGCTCCGTCAGACTGATGATTCCGGAAGCCTTGTTCGATCCCAGCAACGTGAAAGGCGTTGGCGCCAGCATTCTTGGAGTTGGTCCACTCGTCACGACCAGCGTGGGCATGTGCGATATGGATATCAGACCTGTAAACTTCCCACTATTTTCATAAATCACGCGATAGCTTCAGGGAGAAATCGATGATTCCATAAGTGTTAAAATGGAGCATTTCTGTTCTTAGAGTTTGTACGGAAGCGTGGTGGTCACCGGTGGTAATTCCTGCCTGCAAGGTTTTAGCGAAAGACTGAATCGAGATTTAGCCAGCAAAACTCCTCCAGTAAGTATCTCTGTCATTGCGTTGAGATCTTTTAATAGAAAATAATTCTAATTTATATATAATTTTAATGGAAGAATTACGTTCCTTTTATCGAAATCAGAATAACGTTGACTCGTCCGGTTATTGCAGAGTATGAGACTGAAAATAATTAGCGCGAACAGCTCGAGCGAGCGTCGTTACGGTGCCTGGATCGGAGGATCTATTCTCAGCTCCCTTGGATCTTTCCAACAAATGTGGCTGTCGCGACAAGAGTACGAAGAATCGGGTAAACTGATTCTCGAGCGATGCGCGTGATCAAAAGCTCAAGCATCAATCAAAATTATTCTTTGTAATTATTTTTGCAAATCGTCCGACAATGTTGTACGTATCTATTTTGTATGTCGTCGAGGGGACAGTTTGTTGCTATTTTTAAGTTTTCTATAATCCTTCAGAGCGTAAGGGCCAACGTAAGACAATACGAGCGACTAATATCAAACGGGTTTGCGACAGACGCGTATAGAGCTTTAGACAAAATTTCAACAGCAAGGAGAACTTAGTGTATTTGCCTAGCCTATTGAAGTAAAACTGATCGGAGTAAAAGGTGCAATCCTTGTGGAACTCGCTGAAGCAAAATCTTCTATCGATGATAGTTAAAACGCTCTTCGCAGTTGAAGCGACGAATTCTTTCGCTTCGATTACACGCGTAAGTTACAGCGTAAGTTAGACGTTAGACAACTGTATGCGGTACGCTTCTAAAAGAAAAAAAATACAGTTCCTAACTGCTCGAACAATCTTTCGTTTGTAATTCACGAGTACAGATTGGTTTACATATCATAATTGAAGAATCGATGATTCCTAGGGATAATGAATATGGAGGAAAGATGGAGCACTGTTTTCGAAAAAGAATATTTATCGTTTATTTCGAACATATTCACAACAAGTTACATATTTGAACAATGTTTCGATTTCATTTGTTTTCCACGCTTCGCTGTCGTAATCGTTCTTTCTTTTATTTATTTTCCTTATACTAAAAAGAAAAAAAAAGAAATAAAATACGATAAAATGAAATTAGGAGAACCGCGAACCGCAGAACATTCATTTTAGAACGCGTCACAAGCAGTTCCAATTTTACAACGATAAATATAATATATATATATATATTACGGCGTAATAAACAATATAATATTTCGTATATAAATATATATATATATATACTATATATATTTATATCTCAAAATAAATGTAGGAAACAGTATTATCGGTATATCACATATACAATATGTATTTAGGAAAAGGCGAATTATTTTGCTAGAAGAATGGAAAGGACCTTTCTCGTAACGGAGACGAAGAATCGTTCGTCGAAATTTCCGGTCCTACCGTATTTACTCTGCGACTTGATATTATAATACTTCTAATTAACACTCTCGCGTGTTTCAACAAATATCCTTTTGACGAGGAATGTTTGAAATTTCGGCCATGATTAAAAATCGATTGGACGACTTTATCTTTGCAAAAAAAAAAAAGAAATAATTTTTATAAACACAACGCACAACCCGTGTTATGATATATTGTGACGTGGTCAAGCGAAATACGAAATTCGTTATCATTTTAGCGAAATAAACCGAGATAATCTTGTCAGCAATATTTTTGAAAAGGTGTTTAACATATGGACACGAGTCGTGCATAAACAATAAAAATATTGTAAATCGAACGCTGTCTCGTTCATCGAATGCGCCTATAACGCGTGGCAAAAATCGATGTGTTACGCTAACTACGAATACTGGTAGTCGTTCTTGTTTCGACCAAATGTTAAACGACGTATAAACCTACTAGCTAAGAACGCATGATGAAACGCGTAGCCCATAATCAGAAAATTTTAGGTCGCGTTTACAAAAGCGTAGCGCTGCGATATTCGACAACAGGGGTCGAATGCTGTTGACGCGTATGATAAATCGAGACGAGATTTCCTCGTCTATATCCAATTTCTGGTTTTCCCGTTGCGCGATTCGCTGCTTTTTGCTCTTCTTCTCTGTTAAGGAAGAAGAAACGCGCTGCGAAACGAAATCAAACTAATCGTAAAACAATTCTGTTCCTAATCCTTTAAATATTTGTACCAAATAAATCTGCGAACGATCGAACTTACAATCTAGCGAGTTAAATTTCTTGTTTTTTCTTTTTTTTCATTTAGGAACATCGGTTTCTGTCGAATCGTAGTCCAATTTTTAAGCATCGTCCATGATTCCAGTTCGATGGAAGTTCAATCGACGAGCAGCATCGAATAAATTCTATGTTTTCGAAGTTAATACGAACGAGGTATCAAGCTTGATCATGGCGATACTAATCGCGTTTTGCTACAATAATTAACGGTAGCATAATAATGGCTAGAAACCGGAATGATGTACGAACCACGTTACCTCAGTTATCAACATTATCGAAGCCATGATGGCGTGTCGAAGAAGATTCGGTAATAAATAACGTATGTATCACGGCGTCACGATCCTGCTTATATTCGCATGACCGTTGTTAAATACTATCTTATGTTTGTCTCCTAGCTTCCCACTCGAGACGGTTGTGGCAGTCTACAAATAGCATTGTGAACCGGCATAGACAACCATCCTGCCAACGCGATTCCAATGGAATCGGCCATCGTAGCAATTCCCAAGGAAATTTTACGATCCGCTCTTGGAATCTGTGAAATGACAGAAAAAATGACGACATTGCATTCTTTGATGGTATTCGGTGAAATACAATCAGAGACTATTTTTAACGCGAACAAAGATAACAGGTTCGTATAAATTGACCATTGACAATGGTGAGCTGTCAAAGTAAAGTTACGTTACCTCGGTAGACATTCGATAAAACGTATTCACGTATGCTCCACCACCAAGAAGGCCCTCCCACAAAACGAACGCGAACACAATCCAAATACTGGGCAAATAGTAGAACAGCGTCTCGAACAGTAGAATTACGACGTTGATAAACTGAAACAAATACGGGGTTATCGTAAATCGTGTGTATTCGACCACGACCTGCGATAAAATCAACAGCTTGTACGTTGCCGTTCGAACGTGCGTAACACGAGTAAACGAAGTTTAATCGGTTCTGTTACCTGTAACAGAGCCATGATCCAGATTTTGTTAATCGTGATGAGATTGACGGACGATCTTGAGATAAACACTCCTATCTGATAATCCACCTGGAGCCAGCGATATTGTTCGGCGTGCGTCAGCCAAATGTCATCGAATTCGATCAGCTCGTACTGAAAAATTAGCGTTACACGTGTTCGTTAAAACACCTGATCTATGTTGTTCTTCTATACATACGACCGGCGGTAATTGTATCTATATTTAGGAGGTAGAAGCTAGCAACAAGACTCGGTAATCTTATAACGTAAATTATGCGTAACGAAAGACAAAAAGAAATATAATGTATGTATATAACAAGAGCGAGAGAAGGAAAGATAAAGGAGGAGGCAAACAGGATTCTACAAATGCTCATGTAACGAAAAAGCATTACCAATCCTTGGTTAATGAAATATTCGAAGAGGTACACGAGCCCAAGCGGGATCATATACTTCATCAATCCCGGTACCAGATTGATCTTTTCTTTAAAGCTCTTCCTAGGGATCTCAATGATGTGTTCTTGACTGTCGATACCGTTCTTAGTGATCGGGATACTGGACTGCGGCGGGTGAACCAGAACCAACCAGAAAGTGATTCCTTGTATAATCGGTACGATTAACATAACTAACAATGTGTCTTCGTTACTCAACCACATGGTGAGGGAGGCATAAGATAGCGCGCCAATTATTCCGGCGCCTCCAGTACCGGAAGACCATGTCGCTATTACTTGTCTGCGAAATAACGAATCGCTGTCAATTATCGGTCAATGACAAAGGTTAAATTCGGAATGATTCGACATACAGCTATAAAAAAGAAGTAATATCTAACGGTGATAATATTCACAATTACGGAAAAAGCAAAAAATATATGAAATAGAAGAAAGACGGAGATATTGAGATATCGGCGTGATATTGGGAAGACGATGGTTCGCAGTAAAATTTTCGCGGACGATCACATTAACCGACACGTTCGAAACGCACGTTTTATGGACACGTGTTATCTCGTGTTAGTCGCGATCGCATTCCTTTCGGTGAACTTTAACGACACCAAGGTTAATCGTTAGTGAAGAAAGAATGACAAAGAAACAGAAATATATTATACGTAGATAAGTAGAGAAATGGACAGAAACAATAGCATTGTAATTAACAGTTGTTGCACATAAGTACAGACGTACCTCGTGTTCGCAACGAATTTTTTTTCAGAATTCCGTACTGTACTTCTATATTATGCTTTCCGGTGCTTTTTTTAAATCTTATTTTCGTATCGGTACTAGAACAGCAATTTATATTATTGTTCTATACTTTTAAACGTAGAAGGCCAACCTGTCGACTGCCGTTATCTTATCTCTACTTTTCTTTGCACAACTGTCTAAATGTCAATACCGCGGTTTTATTCGCCAATACCTCGAAATTTGCATCAACAGGCTTTGCATCGTATTTCTTTTTCTCTTTATCGTTTTACTTTTTTATCCGTACCTTTTGTCTCTATACTTTATTTTCTTCTACATCTTTCTACACAGATAATAAATTATTATCGCTTTCGTTGCATAAAAGAACGCTATGTATAATGGATAAAAGAAAAAAAAATACGATGCGTTCGATTTACAAAAAAAGGATTGTAGCTATTTACCGATAATCTCTAGTAGTTATGTATATTATTACGTTCGTACGGAAAAATAAAGGAGACACTATGATTAAGGCTCGCCTGTACGTGATAGCCTTCGATGGAACAGGCGGGTGGAAAATTACTTCAGAAAAAAGAATAATGAAAAAGAAGAATAAAAAAAAAATAATACCGACAATAAAGAACAGTAAAGTACGAAAGAATAGAAACGATGGCACTTACTTGGGGTATTGGTGACTGTAACTCAGCAGAGTAACTTCTCCCAAACCGGAAGAGAGTGACGTTACAACGACGCCCAGAATGGCGAGCCATTCAGTAGTGCTCAACGACACCATAAGGAATCCTGCAGCGGAAAATAACACACAGGTAGCCAGTCGAGCACTGTAATTAACGATTCGATTAATCGATTAGCGTTTCATTTGCGGGGAGAGGAGCGACGTGCCCGCGGAGGGACACGACTCCGGGGATGATCCGTCCCACGAGAAACCGCGTGTATTTAGCGAGAAGCATATGACGTTGATCGCTTCTTACTACGCTGCCTTATCTAAAGGAAATTCGTTTCCACATGCTCGATAATACGATTCACGTTCCACGAGTCGAGCTGAACAAAATCAACGGTCACCGTGTCATCGTCCTGTTTTTACTTTTATTTTCTCGAATAATTTATGCATATACATATACGTACGTATATAGCATAACAATATCATCGAAACGATCCAAAGAAAATCATCGATAAGATAATCGAGTTAGACATCGCGGGGTCAGTCGTTGGTCTACGTCAAACATATCGCAGAATCGCGAAAGCTGACTAATGTTTTGATTTCGCCTGTGTGTCATCCGAGTAACTGCTGCTGTTGTTATCGCGTGAAATATTCTAAAAGTTAAAGGCTCGCTTCCTGACATTTCGTTATCGTATCGCGGCTTTTGTTTCCTATCGTCGTAATGCTCTTGCTGGCTCTTAGCATTCTACGCAAAAGTGTAGCGTGGTGTTACGTTTACGCGTAAGTTACGATTAAATGGAACGATAGCTACATAATTAGAAGGAAAAGTAGAAATAGACGGATACTCACTGTACGTAAAAAGGCAGGAACGGCGTGATCGTCTTCACCGCTAGCGATGGTAATATATCCGCTAGCAATATAGCGCCAGTGGACAATGTGTTGCAAGATCGAATCCCGGTGGTGTTGGTGGTCGTCACGGTGCCATTCGTGAACTCCGTGACAGGTTCCTTCGTATAGACGAAACGAAACCAAAAGGAAGGAGAAAAAAGAAATAAACTAGATTAGTATATCATTCGCGAACAGATACGAGAGATGTTACATTTTACGTAAACCAAAAGAATCAGCTTTGTCTATTATTTTCTCATAATTCGGTTCGTTGGTTGTACATCGCCGCGGAAGTTATCGGATACCGGTATCTTTATTTCACGAACATTACCACCTTGAACGAGTGGAATATTAATCTCCGCGATTGTTACGTAAGTTAATTCGCGTTCGAAGCATGCTGGAATCGTAGTCGGAAGGAAGAACCACGAGCTTAGAGGGGAAGGCGTAAGCAACTCCATAACACGATGCGAAACGCACGCATAGATTTGTCGATGACATAATGAAATTCCTCGCGTACAAGAATCTGTTCGGTCTCGAACACGTAATTCAGATTAATTGCTTGCTGCTCCAACGACTTGTCTCCCTCTCTCCTCCTCTGCCGTCACCTCCTGTTTCTATTATTCCTTATTAATAACCGTCTTCGTTTCGTTCGCATCGAGATCGTGGATCACGAGGAACGTTGTCTAAACGAGGCTATTAATCCTCGTGACGAACAGTCTCGCTGTGGCGAGATACCATAGTGCGAAACGCGGAGTAATCATTAAATCGTAAAACTTTCATAGTCCGCTTAGTAATATTTCAGTCGAACGACACTCCGCCGTTGTTACTGATTACACGGATTACCTATGCAGACCGTGTGCATCGTTTACAGAAGCTTTTGAAATCGTCTCCAAATATCAAGATATTTTTCCTTGATCGTGAAACGTCATTTACGATTCCGGCTAATCAAAACTGCTACGTTACCGCGTTCAATAACTTCGAGGCAATAACGAAAAAGAAAACAGTAAGCTAAAAAAGCGTAAAAAGGATTCGCGCTTAAACAAACGTAGAAAAACGCGTTCTCATTAACATCGATGGATTAGTTGGCGCCTACGAAAAGCCGATATTTTATTTGGCAAATCGTCGACGTAGAAAGAAATCAACGTCACAATGTGGTCGTAAATCGTTTGGAGACGAAATATCGACCGTATTAAAAACAGCATATAGTATCGTGGATGTACAGTCAAGACACCGACCAATGATGTTGCAACGCTTTAAACCCGACTCAATGACTACATATTAGAAAGGGAGGGGCCGCGAAACTTTCATCCAATAACAATAACATTTTGTATCCGGCAGTTTGCCGTCGATCGGTGCCACATACCGAGTGCAAGTCCGTTTTTCTTCTTTTCTTTTCGCGAAATTTTCCATTAGCCCGCCTACTCTTCTGGCAATCGGAGCATCATCGAGTGACAACAGGAATCCAATCGATACAAAGACCTGTGTAATCGCTGTGCTGTAATACGGCCGAATGACGCCGGTGATTCATCGAGTCTTATGCAGGCCAGGCGTCACACGAGTAGTGTACACTACTACTCTGCACGCTCGATCGTTCGCTCGTTTCGCTCGAACGAGTTTGCCGATTTCAAGTGAACGCGTTGCTTTATCACGTCGCTATCTATATGTCGCAATTGTTTTTTATACTTTATCTGTTCTAGTTTATCGTTATAGGTAAATATGAAAATCTTGGGAAGCTTCCAGACCATCCTCCAAAACGCGTTACTGGTTACACGTTGTTTCGCAATCGACCGAATGCCAATCGAGCGATTCGGGACGGTCGATGAACACGCGAACCGACCGATGGATTTACGCGTATTTAACCGATCGACTCTTAAGGCGAAGGGATTCGAGTTTTAAGGGACAGACACGGACAATCAGAAATTAGTACGCGAAGAAGTCACGTTGAAGATGATTCATGATTCGTTCCATTGCCGGAAACAAAGGTCTCCGAGTTTCATTGTATTTTCTTATTTTCTTCCTCTTTTTTATTCTCTCGAATCGAAGGAAATGCAAAAAATACAAGGAGAAAGAAGAACGGAAAGAAAAATTGGAAGAAAGCGGAACGTAACGAATCTTCTCTTTTTTCCCACCCCTGGCAACCCTTCTCTGACTTCGATCAAATATATGTTCGCTAATGGATCAATGAAAAAAAAATTACCACTCACCATCGTCGTGCCGAATTTGCTCTCAAGTATATCGTGCGCGGCGCTAAGCATCACCACGTATCCGTAATTGTTGCAGAGTCCGAGTATCCAGAAGGCGGCGAAATTTCGCCATCGCGATCGTACAGCTATCGATTCTTCGTCGAACACGTCGTTCGCCCGCCGCTCCGAGACCGTTAACGGTTTGCCCTTTGCCATCTTCAACTGCAATGGTATATACTCGTGCCTTTCTTTCCTCTCTATCTTTCTATCTTTTATATTCCACTTCTTTGCAACCAATTTACTTCTCCGTCTTTGTTCGACCCGCGCTCGTCCCTTTTTTTCCAGCGGTCGACTTTTCTTTCCTTTCGTTCAACTTCGATCGTAGTTAATCCTGTTCCTTATCCCCAGGCTTTTCCTCCGTTTCCTTTCGTCCCCTGTGGATCCTGTTCTAGCTTCCTCTTCGCCTTGAAAGTTTGCACTGTAGTTTCTATCGGAACGGGGGGGCTAAGTGGAGCACGTGGGCCTTTTAAATCTGTCCCAGGTTACGGCAGCAACGATTCCGTTTCTGTCTTCCTCGTTCTCAGAGACGGCGCACACCCATCGGCTTCTTTCTTTCCTGTAAGACCTTCTCCGTCGTATGCCTTGCCCGCTCGTGTTTCTCCTTTTCGAGCGAGTTTAGAGCACAGTCAGCGCGCGGTAAACCAAGCTTCGAGAAACTTCTCTCTCCTTTAGTCGCTGTATTTTCTTTCCGCCACTACTCACCGGGAGTATCGTATCGTACGAACTTCTGCCGTTTCGAATCTAACTCGATTCCCAATGAAAACAAACGTACTGGTAAATCTATTATTTCGTTCGATCGAAATTCCGCGACTCTCCGTTGTATACTTGTTACTTGTATATTTTATCGAGAGAAAGGAGAGGGCCGATGATTTCTCTCTGTGCTTTTTATCGACGGTTACGTAGAAACTTTTTTTAAGCTTCTTTTTGCTCGAAGCAACGTTTGGCTTGTATATTCTTCTCCGTCGAAGTTCAAAATCAAGGTCCCAGGATCTACGGATCGATCGCTCAAGGTTCCACGCCAGCGAATGTAAAATCCTTCGATTTGCGCGTGCCTCGAGGAAATTGGTCGAGAATATCGGCAAGCTATTTACGGTCCCCTGGCCGTTTCCTGATTTATTTTCGACGATTTGGCTCACCGTGCAGTTGAACGAGTTGTTCGTAAGCTACAAAACGACGGGCATGTAAAACCGTGACCTACGCGAACACGCTAGGTAGAGCTTCCTGCTGGAGGAACGATGCACAAAACCGATCAGGTTCGTTTTTACTGAGAAACCCCTACCTTCTATGTTGCGGTAGAGTCAGCATTCAACACCAGCGACAGCGGTAACCAAGCTTCGAGAAACTTCTTTCTCGCTTTCTTCTCAGCAACCGACGCGTTCGATCCAAGCTGATCCTCGCTTTCTCGTACGAGTTTCCGGACGAAAATGAGTCGAATGTTCGACGTTCCCTTACTGGCTGTACGATGTATGCCAGCCTTATCGAAACCTAAGCTGTTTATCGTTAATCACTTCGTTTCGTAAAACGTGCCGTGTAATCTTTGAAACACGTTCAAAACAGTTTCTTCTGCTCCAGCGCTCCTTATCTTTCTCTTTCCTTTCTTGTCGCTGATCCAAAGACCGATTAAATTTCCGATGGCTCTCTGGTCGGCGTAGGTCTTCACGATGTGTCGTTCCTGTGGACAAGATCGATATTTTCTTATGAAATCGGACGCCCCCACGGTGGCTGACTTCAACGGGGGAACTGTTAAAACAGGAAAGTCGACGCGCGTCGATTAAAATTGCAGATTGGCTACCTGCCAATGAGGATTCTACACGTTATGCGTTACATACGCGATCGATGTTTGTGTTTTATTTTAATTGTCAAAAGAAAAAGAAAAGAAAAAAGCTGTAGAAAGCAATAAAGAAAAATACGAGGTCAGGCTGTTGGCCACGAGAAACAAATTGATAGCCGCACGTGCGTCGGCAGCTGGCTTTGCGGACTCGAATTATTGCACCGCGAGTCTGGTCTCAACGAGTACTGATTTTCATGTCGATCCGCAAATCGCGTATACTCGACCGTTCGCCAAAGTACAAATAACTAAACTTCGTTCGAAACGAACCACTTAAGTTCTCTTCTTTCCGCCTCGTTTTATTTGTATCATTTTGCTTTGGAAAATCACGAACGATTTAGACGTAATCAGTCGCAATTATTCCCACAAAAAATGCAGGAAAAAGAATTGCGTTCTAACTTTGATTTTCATAAATGGAACGGAAGAGAGAGAGAGAGAGAGAGAGAGAGAAGAGAGGAGGTGGCTGTGTGAGTGGTTTTATTCCGCGGTAAATAGGCACACCGCAAAACGTGTCTTAATTACATTAAAACGACGTCCTTGCCAGCGTTTTCTAGTTCTAGGAACAGACTAAACTGGAGACGTGTCTCTCGTTTCCCGCGTTCCAGCTCGAAGGATTATTTCGGTCGAAGCATCGACCTCGAGACGATGCTTCTCGTTCCTCACGAAAAGGAACGCAATGGATCGCACGTGCCGTACCATCGATCGACCCCAATCTTATTGCTGTTTCTACCGACAATCGAACCAATTTACAAAACCAATTTCGGAACGATGCAAACAACAAACTTGTGTGTATTACCGCGTCTTTTATCTTGGACAATAGAAGTGCTCCTCCTTCGCGTTGTTTCTTCTTCTATGATACAAGAACGACGAGATGGTTGCTTAATCGCGATCGAGCGTGATCTTACGTTCTAATTTTATTGTCGTTTCGATAAACGAAGGTTTCCGCCGTTGTAGGAAGAAGTTTGGGTTAAGAGAAATGATATAAATTAGCTGCGATTCTTTCGTATTTCCTTCGCGCTTAAGAAATCCGTTAAGGACGGAAAAGGATCGGGTCGAAAATAAATCGAGCGACGTGACGGTATTTCATCGCGATTGTGAATGTGTCCGATGTCGATGAATTATACAATGTCATTACAATTACGTTACGACAGCAACGAAGCTCGGTTCCACGATCTTATATCAGTCCATTAAGGGGTAATATTACGCTAAAGCGATGTTTTGTTTGAAATTTCTCTCAATGAATTTACACCATCGAATTCTATTTTTAGATAGCATCGTATCTGTGAAATAAAATTCTCGTTAGACTCGTTAAAAGACTCGTTAAATATTCTTGTCAATGCTATTCTCGTTATCTAGATTTTACGTTTAAAAAAGATTGATCGTTTAGAAATCATTGCTCGGTTGATCTTTAACCTATTACTTAATGGATTAAGAATATCATTTTTCATCAGCAGACCTTAATGTACATAAGTACGTTCGACTCTGCTCGCGTAGCTTATCTCGCGGCCCTGTTTCATACAGCTAGCGGCAAGAAGATCGTTTTCCTCGACAGCGTTTCTAGGTTCTCTCTCGAGTCTTCGGCAGCTCGAAATAATAGCCCCTGACAGACACACACGACTATTGTCGGAAAGTTGGCCGGCCACGCGATCTGTTTCCACGATAGCCGAGTTCGAGTCGTTTCGCGGTCATGCTACTTTTTTCACGCAATCAACGTCGTCAACGGGTCTTTTTCTATTACTCCTTCGCTCTTCTCTGTCCTTCTTCCTTTTTCGTCGGTGAATGAGCCTCCGTGAAAGGCAGCGCTACAGCTGGCCAACTCGATGCATGACTCATTAATCGTTTCGCCGAGACGAAATTTTGGAACCGAACGAAGAACTAAACTTTTCACGTATATTACGGTGAAATTGTTACAGAATCTTGCAGAAACGAGAGACGTCGAAGAGAAATGAAGCAACAGCTGGTTCTAGTTATTTCTGCGACTCGAAACTGTAAAGATCAACGGTCGATGCAATGAACTGTGTACGTGTACGATGGAACTCCATTTGTATCTGAACTCATCTGGACGACAAATAATTCGCATAACTGGTAATATAGTACAAATATATAAGTATAGTACAAATTCGCCAATTTTGCTTACTATCTAGTACTTTTTAGTTAATCGCACGTTAACTAAAATTTTCTTTCGATAAACGGGCTTGTAGCGTATATCGAAATTTTGAAAAATTGCAAATTTTGCGTAACAGTCGATGAGTCACGTTAATCGTTCAAATGCGTTCCAACTTTTCGCAAAGTAAACGATAAAGGGACCACGAGACCAACACCCGTTCAATTCACGATGTACGTTTCAACGACGCGTTCCCTGAACGCATGTCACCGGTGTAAACATTGAACGATCGCGTACGAGAAGAGAAACGAAGCCACGATAACGAGAGGTTGGAGCGCGATGCGAACCGCTGTCAGGCTACGATTTCTTGGACAGCTGAGATAACGCTCAGGGTGTGCGAACATCGAGCGTGAAACATAAATGAGCGTAAAAAGAACGATATATCGAGAGACGCTTGGAAAAATCAGTTGCCGATACGAACAATTCGTTTTCTCTGAAAGAAACGGAAAAAGAAGAAAATGGTAACACTCACCTAATCACCGTTAGTACTCGATTGAATGCGGTAACCTTTGAAATATATTACAGGAATTGCGGCTGGAATAAATCTAAAAGTCCTCGTAAAAATAATAAATATCGTTATCACAAATCACAAATCACAGAGTAGTAAAGATTCTGACGAAGTATATCACAGAGTATGTGTTGTTTGGGGCAAAGATTCGGTGTAATACAAACGAGACCTTCGGTTCGTGTTTCTTCTTCTTTTTCTTTTTCTTCGCCTTCGTCCTCTTCTTCTTCTTCTCCTTCTTCCGAAACTAAACGATCGTCACGCACAACACCGAAACAGACTGCCCTTAAACTGTGCTAAAGGAAAAATCGATAAGTTCGGCGCGAAAGCGTCCGCGGCTATCGTATCGTAGCTTCTAGAAGAAGTTCGATGTACCGACGAAGCGCACTGATTCTGTAAAAAAGGATTCGAGCACGTTTCCCAAACACCGACGCTCATACAACGCACAGCGTATCTCTGCGCCTTTCTCTTTCCTTCTTTCTCCACTTTGCTTCTTTTTTTCTTCGTTTGACGTTCGCGACGACTCGCGCCGTCCTTTTTCCTTTCCCCCAGTCGCGCTCTCTATTTCTCTTTTTATATTTATTTTCTTTTCTCTTTGCTCTGTTTCCTCTTAACGAACGTTGCTTAATGTTCGTTCGATTGATGCTACCGCGATCGAACAGAAAAGCGTTGTCGCAATAGAAGACAGTCTCCGACTTACTTGACTCGCAGCTGCAATCGTAGCACGTGGTTGCCGCGGCGAGTTTCAGGTTCGAAATAAATAAGCTCCAGGCGAAATCACCGAGTTATACGGCGGCGACGCAGGCCCGACCGCTCTTCGAGCTCGGTTCGGCTCGGC